GCCACCAGGGAGTTCGCCACCAAGCAGTTCTCCCCCAGGCAGTTCGCCACCAGGGAGCACCACCAGGCAGTTCGCCACCAAGCAGTTCGCCACTCGGCAGTTCGTCACCAAGTACCTCTCCACCAGGGAGCTCGCCACTGGGTAGTTCGCCACCAAGCAGTTCCTCACCAAGCAATTCTCCCCCAGGGAGTTCGCCACCAAGTAGCTCATCACCAAGGCACGTCACCACCGGGTTAAACAACGAGGTACTTAGCCAAAAAATTTATACATCACAAAAAATGGTACGTGACCAAAAACGGTTACATCATAAATTAATAGTGTTTATTAAAATACTGTAGTTATTAAAAATATTAATATTTTTATTAATTTGAAACTGTAAGTAATATAATTAAATTTTAATCTATAATTCAAAGTAATTATATTTAAATTAAATTTAAGCTATAAATAACAGAAATTACATTTGATGAACAGAAATTAGCCAAGAAAATAACCAAAAATAAAGTACCAATAATTTTGTCAAAATTACCAAAATTTTTCCAAGAAATTACAAAAAAATGATTAACATGATTTTTAATAAACATCCTAAATTATCAAAAGTTATATATATATCAGTAATCTTCAAGAAATGTAATTAGTTCATAGTGTATTTAATATACATTTGTTCTTTCGTATAAATTATAAATTATATAATTTAAATATTATAATCCTAGCCTATGATGATATTAGTTCATAGTGTTACAATGGAAAATAGAAAAAAAATGTGTTTACTATTTTGTGTTTCCATTATTTCACTTTCACTCAACAAAGCCTCTGCATCGTATGGGTCCCCGCTAGTTAAATTATTTAAATAATTTTATATATTTATATACTTTATATAAATAAAATATTTATTAATTACCTAAAATAATTAACTGTTTGAATTCAAATTAAACTGAATATTAGAATGCTTAATCAAATTTGAATTCAAATATTGATTTTCAATTCCGTCACATATCCAATCAAATTTGGATATTGCCTGATTCGATTCGATTCGTATTCGATCGGTTTAGACCCCTAGTTATGAACCAATCACTTGATCTTTTTCCTTAAACCAAACACAATGTAATCAACCAATGTATTTCTGGATATCATACCAAGGATGGTTTGGATTAATAGATAGGTTTTGATGCAAGGGGCTTAGTTCTTGTTTCGGAATTTTAATTTATATGTAACTGTTCATGAATGTTAGGTGAAAAAACACTTATTTCAAAGAGGGGTAATATGGATATTTTCAAAATAACATGTCAGGCCAAGACGCGCAAAAAAGTAAATAATCACTTAAAAGTAAGTTCAAAAATTGGGTTTTTTTTTTTTCATTACCAATACCAATTACCATATATTCTAGCTTATTTCTCAAATATAAATAAGTGACTACTTATTTGAATAAAGATAAGCACTCCCAAATATGGACTTAATTTTAGCACTCAGTGCACCAAACAAACAAACCCAATCAGATTTCTGTACTCTTACATGGATGGGCTATTGTCATTACTCATTGTTTAGGCCATCTTCTCTCAACGTAAATGATGAATAAATGATGTAGAGTAAAAAAAAAAAACTATATATTAAAAGAATAATAGAACGTCTAGCGCTATGTTTGTTTGAAGGAAAAAGTAGGGAAAGAAAAGGAAATGAAACTTTTACAAATCAAACATAGCCTAAAATTTTAAAATTTCACTACTATCATTTTGATTTACCAAACCTAGTCAACCCTAACTCTAACCCAACCCAACCTTTGGGCTCGGGTTGGTTCAATCTAACTTTTCTCATCTTTTTGAAATATCATAAAATGTTTCGAATTGTCTTAATTTTTGACCTAGAGACCTACTCTGAGCTTTTATGACCGGTGGCTGATCATATTTTTATTTGTTGGTATTTACTTCTTTGATGTTTTTATTATTATTTTAGTATAGAAGTGAAAAAAAGGGAACGTTTCAAATGATTAAAGCAATGTTTTAAAAAATGATCTGAAATTAGAATCGTTTGGGCCACTGGTTTCTGGCTTGATAGTTTAATCATCCAGTCTGAATGGATGGTCTATTCTGACAAAATAAATTAAAAAATGGCAAAAAACCGTTGAATAAATTGAACGGATTGATGGTTCAATCACGCAGGTCAATGGTTCGTTGACTGATTCAATAATTTTTGGTTAGTGACCAAGTTTGAGGTAAAACGGAACCGATTGTTTAGACAGTTCCCAGGCCGGATGGTCAAATCGTCCAGGTCAATGACGCTTCAACAACCATGGATTAAAATCTATTATGAATTATAACAGATCTTCCATTTATATAAAAAAAATGTTAAATTGAAAACCTAAAATCATGAAATTAATAATAATAAAACATAATATTATGGAACGAAAAACACTAACGACTTGTCATTATTGTTGGGGCTTAAGAGTTAAAAAGCATTGATATGATTGTGTGTATCACGTAACAGGATAATAATACATATGTACAATACCAGAGTGAGGTTCGGGTTGCCAAGGGACCACTCGATCCCAACCCAATGTGAAATCGGGTTGCAAAGTCTAATCCCAACCCGGCCCAAGTTGCAGTCCTACACATAATGAGATGCGAAGGTCTGAAACTGATGGAGGGCCTATTCTTGACGGTGGAAAATGGATAATCAATAAAAATTTGGTCTATTTCGAATCTTTCCGGAGTCAATCACCTGCTCACAGAGAGGTAGAGAAGTAGACAAATGGAGGCCCAAATACCAACCTGCCAAGTAGGCTTACAACTTGGGTGGGCTCACGAATCTATGGGCTCGGCCCAAGGACCCGTTCCTAAAACAGTGTAAAATGTCAATTCGGATACCCAATACGTACGACTCTCTAATCTCTCAAGTTTCAAGCCTGTGGTGTAATCAAGTCATAATGCCTAATATATTCTTGATCGACGGTAACTAAATACTTTTAGAGTTGACCTCTAACCTCCATTAGGCTGTGTTTGATTATAATATAAATAAATTTGCATTGATGCAAAACTAAGGCAGTGTAAATGATTTGAGTGTAAAATCTGATCTATTTTTGTTTCAAAATTTAATTTATTTTGTTTGATTGCAGTATAAAAGAAGTAAATTATGACATGAAACGGAATAATGTAAAATCCAAAACAAAATTAAACAATAATTTACAATTGCACCCATGCAGCAAATAAATTTGCACTATAACCAAACACAGCCTTAGTCTTTAGTCTTCACTGCCAGGAATTACGTCACTAAGCGGAGCCCCGCTACCTCCGGATCGGTTGACGAAAAACAAACGTACGTATGAATCTGCGGTTTTCATGGCGAAATATGGTCACTTCCACCTTATAAAAATATCAGTTTCCTTCCATATTTCCAACATTTCTTTTTCCACAACAGAGACAGAGTTCAGACTGATCCCTCTTCGTTTTCTTTCTGTCTTTTATCTTTTCGTTTTCGTTTTTAATACTTGGCATTGCTATCATTATAACGTCATTCTTTTTCCCTCTTCCTTCCGGCGGACTACGGGTATCAGACACTGGTAGTAAATTTGTGGCATCAGTCTATCATTCTGGAAGAACATTTTCCGGCTGCCGATTTCTAACGAGGTGTGTTAAAGTTGTCGTATCAGTCTCGCTCTCTCTTTCGATGGTCGTTAACGACATTCTTTTTCCCTCTGTTCTATACTTTAGTTTTCTTTCTGGGCTTCAGTCCATCCAAATCGGCATTCCATGGATATGTTGACAATGTGATCCTTTTTGCTATTTAGTTACCATTTAATTCATTGGTTAATTTAGTTCCTTATTACTTGCACAAACTTGTATAAATGAAATAATTCTTCTCTTTTTAATGTTTTTGAAGTGGTATTTCTTGATGATTTGCAGTGTAACTGTAATATGCTTTGTTATGCTCTGAATATATGGTTAACATGGACCGAGGTAAACTACTGGGTTATTAAAACAGTTACCATAATAGCAAATCGCCATTGTCCTATATTTGTCTTTCTTGTATAGTGGATCAAGTAATCTGTACTAATCTGAATGCAGTCCAGACGGCTAAGAGGGGTACAAATCTCCATATGAATCAGTAACATTCAAGGATTTTCTCCAGTTGGGTCTTCTTGATTTTGAGTTCACCAATCATTTGCATTCATTTTCATGATTGACATGAACGCAAATTCTTCTCTCTTGCTTATGTCTCTTCCGATTACTTAAATTGACTATGTATGGGATTTTGGTGCTTGATATAGACTCTGATATTCTACATTTAGTTCCTGACTATCTATATCACAATATGAATGTTCATCCAACCGCATTTTAGTGCGAAACTTAATTATGGTTAGTTCCTCAGATAGTAGTTGCAAATATTTGATATTAGTTCGCAATGAAGGTACTTCCGCAAAGTATATATCTTCTAGTTGAGGGTTTTCCTGAATTTTTCTGAATTGTGGATCAAACATGTTTATCCATTAACCTGCTTTGTTGACACAGTTATCCATATTGGGTGCAGGCTTTGCAAACATGGCAGATTGGCCTCGTCAACCATCTGTTACTCAGAAATTTGGTAGTCAGATCCTTCTTCGTTCCTGCAATTCCCAACATGTGCAGGCTCGAAACTGTAGCTTTTACAAGCCTTCCCATGAAAGGACACAAGCTTTCTCTATGCCCACCTCGAAGTCACCTGTATTTGTCCAAGCACCTTCTGAGAAAGGCCCCAGCGCATTCGTCGTTGATTTCCTGATGGGTGGAGTCTCTGCTGCTGTATCAAAAACTGCTGCTGCTCCTATTGAACGAGTAAAACTTTTGATTCAGAACCAAGACGAAATGATCAAGGCTGGTAGACTAACTGAACCCTACAAAGGAATTGGTGATTGTTTTGCTCGTACGATCAAGGATGAGGGATTTATCTCATTGTGGAGAGGGAACACCGCCAATGTCATTCGTTACTTCCCTACTCAGGTTTGTCTTTTCTGTACACTATCGTCTCCTTTGGATTTTTTTGTTCACCTCTGTTGTTTCAATCTTCCTCACTTTGTGTCATTTCTTTGATTATTCCTTAAAGAATGATCTCTTGGGCCTCTGTTCTGTAATCATGACAATTTGGTATGTGTCGAACCAGGCATTAAACTTTGCATTCAAGGATTACTTCAAGCGTATGTTTAACTTCAAGAAGGATAGAGATGGATACTGGAAATGGTTTGCGGGAAATTTGGCGTCAGGGGGTGCTGCTGGTGCTTCTTCCCTGTTCTTTGTTTACTCCCTGGACTACGCCCGAACCCGTCTGGCCAACGATGCAAAGGCAGCAAAGAAGGGAGGAGAGAGGCAATTCAATGGTTTGGTTGATGTGTACAGGAAAACTCTACAGACCGACGGAATAGCTGGACTCTACCGTGGGTTCAATATTTCGTGCGTCGGAATCATAGTCTACCGGGGTCTCTACTTTGGAATGTACGACTCTCTCAAGCCTGTGATTCTCGTTGGGAAGCTGCAGGTTTGTGAGTTGCTCATATTATCGATCGTTGGCTTAGAATGAGTTACATTACATCATGCATTATTAATTGGGAAATGGGTATCTATATATATCTCACAGTGAGTCTCTCTCTCCGGTGGTTTCAGGATAGCTTCTTTGCGAGCTTTGCGCTGGGTTGGGTGATCACAAACGGAGCCGGGCTTGCATCCTATCCAATCGACACAGTGCGTAGAAGAATGATGATGACATCCGGTGAAGCTGTCAAGTACAAGAGTTCAATGGATGCGTTTTCTCAGATCCTACAGAACGAAGGGATGAAATCATTGTTCAAGGGTGCAGGCGCAAACATCCTACGTGCGGTTGCCGGTGCCGGCGTGCTTGCCGGATATGACAAGTTACAGATGATCGTATTCGGGAAGAAGTATGGATCTGGTGGCGGTTAATTAATCTTTGGCATCCATAATGTTCACTTCATATCATTCTTCATTGTTAACTGAAGAAAAAACCTACTCTTAAATAATTAAATGTCAAGGAGGGTGGAGTCTCCTGTTAATATTTCTGGGATTTTTATCTCCATATATCTTTTCAAGGAGTTGTGGTATTCTCTCTAGCTACTACTGGTAATTGATGAGTCCATGAAGAATGAGTTTTGACTGAGTGATAGCGTAATAAGATGTTTTTTTTTTTTTTTTTTTCATCTTGCTCTTAGACATATTAGAGGACACAGAATCTCCATTGGAACTCACTGCAACACCAACTCTGAATCTATGCCCTTGGGCAAAATGTTTTTGACACCTGAAAAATGAATAGTAAGATACAGGTAGCGAGAGCCAAGCATTGGAAGCCCAACAAATGCGTCTATCAAGTTATCTACTACACTCCAAGTAACAGACCAAAGAGATGAGAAAAGAGTCATAGGGATTGAAATAGTTGTAGCTCCCTTTGGATAATTAACAGACATTCCCACCATTGATGAACAGGGTGGGTTTGAATCTAAAAACATTGATGATTGAACCGAACTTGGATCCATAGATTCAAGTACGTACCTTTTGGAATTAGGTCCAATTCCAAACTTAATTAGTAGCTAGCTAGATGTACACGGTAAAAACTCAAGTTTAGGAATGTTGGATTTATAGAAAGAAACAAGCGAATCCAGTACAGTTTTTCTCTTATTGTTTACCTCATTATCAGTATGCATCCAATACCGTTTGAGACTTTGAGTTTCAGGTTTTTTCCAGTAGTATTTTACCAATCTCCACAAACCAAATAGTTCCAATCATGTATTGATATTGGATCTAGAGCAACCTGTGTTGTAACTTGTAACCCAGATCAGGCCTGACAAGACCGAAACTTATGCATGAAATAGTGTCGTGGGTCTCAGTTACAAAGGATGATTGAGTTTCATTCTGTGAGGAAACCATTCTCTGGATTTCTTATTGGAAACGACAATTTTCACTTGAAGATGATGAATCTCAATTCTGATTCACAGAGAGGGCACTTACCACCGCAAACGGGGGCGTGCCGGTCTTTACTTGCAACAAAAAGGGTCCGATAATCTGTCATTGTTTTCTACTTTTCTATATCAATTCAAATGCCCAATGAACCTCTTTGCATTGTTGGTTATCAAACGAAATGGATGCATATGGGTCTGATAATCCGGTCCCCATTTGTATTCATCTAAACCACGGTGCCTGATTGATTTCCACCGCTACCAGACGGAAGGAATACAAATACAAATATATACAGTACAAATTTATACAAAATAATACAAAATATAAGGTTTTGTGCTCTATATATTTGTATTTGTACTCCTTCCAAATGGAGGATTTACTTTTGCATAACATATTTATATTTACACTCCCCTCAAAAAGAGATAATACAAAAGAAAGGATGCAAATTTTCACATATCAACGCATATATAAGTTCAACAGGTTATACAAAGATAACTAATACAGTAAAAAGAAAAATGGAAGATAGGAGGCTAGGAGCAGAGCTTGACAAAGGTGGTAGTACATTGCCTCAACACCTGTATGGTGTGTACCCTTCCATGTGCAGTTGTTATATATTGAATCAAAACACTCTTTTTAAGAAGTAAATTGTCCACGTGGTTCATGTTGGCACATTTTCTGCTCTTTTACTAAGGCTGTGTTTGTTTGCAATGCAAATAAATTTGTACTGATGCAAAATCATGATAATGCAAATGATTTAAGTGTAAATTCTGACTTATTTTTGTTTCAAATTTTAGCTTTTTTTTTTTTTTTTGAATTCAGTACAAATGAAGTAAATTAAGACATTAAGCAGAATAAAGTAAAATCCAAAACAAAATTACTAGAATTTACATTTTTTACATTTGCACCCCATGCATTTGTACTAGTGCAAATTACTGCAACCAATACATAAAAATACCAAATATCTTCTATTTCAAAAATTAAAGAAAACAAAAATTGCAAAGGGCATTTTCACAGGTTTAAAGATTTATGCATTATCTTCAGTAACCCTATTTTGAACCCAATTTCCACTGTAAGTCTGTATCATTAGCTTATTATAAATGTTGCTGCTTTTCATTAGGCTTAGTTTGGAAAAAGTACAAATACAAATATGTAGAGTGTAAAACCTTATATTTTGTATTATTTTGCATACATTTACACTGTACATATTTGTATTCGTAATCTTACCAAACTGAGCCTTAATACTTTGAGAAATCTTCCTTTTTTTGCCTATTGGATCTGAAACTGTCGTCCTTCTACATTCCAATGTTGCTGGGTTAGTCTTCTTCCCCACTTCATCTGTGTTAATAACTCTTTATATGGGTTGACAAACCACTAACCATTGGATGGAGTTTTAAGCAGGGTGCAACTTGGGCGGGCCCAATTTGAGCCCGAAAACATCTTCACATTGTTGCATGGCTGGGCTTGGATTTTTAGTCCGCGCACTGGGCCTAGGCTCAAAACCTTGGTTTTATTTTTTATCTTTTGGGTTGGATTCAAGACTAACCCGCCCAATCCTTAGGTGGCTCGAGCCTGGTTCAAACCTAGCCCGACCTTAGTATAACCTGAAACCAGCCTAATTAGACACACATACACACAGATACATTCGGCCTGACAGGCCCATTTGAGTCCAATTTAGCAACCCAATCCCGGCCTAGGCCCAATTTGAATATCACCATTTTCAGTTTTGGCTGGGCAGGGGCTGGAAAGATCGGGCTTGACCTTGGGCCTGGTGGAGGCTCAGGCCTTAGGCCCATTAAGTTGAGTAATTTATTATCTAGGTTATCATAATATATTAGTATATGATCCAAAGCTTATCATTATAATTTAAATTTTATAAATATTACCTTTTACATTGCTTATTATACAGATCCAAATATTAAAATTAAAACAAATGATCGAATGGCTTAAGTAACTCAATGGTCAAGTGAGACCATGGCCTTTGTAACCATGAGTTTTTGGGTTCAAATCTTCACCTCCTCAAAAGAATTTTGGGGTTTATTTCAAGGCAAGTTCAGTTCCACCAAGGCTAGTCAAGGCCAATTCATATGATTGGTTCGAGTAAGGTAAATCCCTAGAACCTGAAACCAGCCTATGGTTGGTAAATGGGTGTATTGTAGTTCAATCAATGCCTACTCTGCCTAATTGCCATCTTGATTTTGACCCCTCTTCCTAAGTCTTATTTCTCTTCACTTTGGGTCCACCTAGTTGTATATGGTTTGACCCAATGTTTTAGAAAACGACCCGGTAATAGAACTGTTATGGCCACCGACTTTTGGGTTGATGGTTCAACCGTCTGATCCAAATGGACAGACCATTTTGACTAAATAAATTAAAAAATAAAAAATAATTAAAATTTAAAAATGACAAAAAACAATTGAACGAGTTGATGGTTCAACCGCCCAAGTCAATAATTCGTTGATCGATTCAATGGTTTTTGGTCAAAGATCGGGTTTGGGGTAAAACGAAATCGATTGCCTGGATGATTCCCAAACAGAACGATCCGATCGTCCGGATCAACGACAGTTCAAAAACCATGATTTGATCCCCCAGTCCCCCACTTTCAATTTTTGACATCCATTGACCTCTTATTCTTTGCTAAGAATACATTTTTAGTAACCAGGATTAGTTTACTTGCCTTATGAATCTCTATATAATTTAGGGCAGCATGAATTATTTATTTATTATGATGCTAAGGAAATTATGCCAAACATTGCTTTCATAAAACAAAACACATTGACTATATAATATATAATATATTCTTCCTTGTTTGGTGTCTTCTTCTTTTTTTTTTTTTCAAAAGTGAAAGCAGAATGACTATTTTATACTTTTTGATTTCAATAGTGGGTTGATATTGTTTTTTATGAAGTCCGATTGGATGGATGTTAGTCAACCCAAGGCCTGGCTTGAATAAGCTAGGGATAAATAATATATACCCAATATTATGTATTATTTATTGATATTTCTATGCAGTATGCAGTACACACCTCATCTCTTATGTTGTACCTCTCATCTTAATTTAATCATAAACCATGCTAAATCTCAACTCTTTTATAGATATTTCATCCGTTACAAAGTATATCACTCAAAAACCAATTTCCCTTCATATGGTTCTATCATGGATTGGACCAGAAATATGAATTTGGGATGGGTACCTTGCGTCGAGTAATTTAAGCCTAATGTTTGAGTCCAGGCTTGGGGATAGGCTGATAATGAGCTAGAAGGGCCTTGCCTGATTGATGCCCAAGCCCATTTAAAATTGGGCTGATTGCAACTACAGGAACTTTACAAGTTATTTGGTCCATTGCCCACATAAATGGTACCTTATTGCAAGCCAAACTCATGCATGCATGCATGCATTGTCCATTTTAGGGGTGTAATCGAGCTGAGTCCAGTTGAGTTTTAGGAGGTTAGAGCTCTAACTGAACTCAAAAACTTTAAACATGAAACTTGACTCTAGTTGATGCTCGGAAACTATTTAGTTCGATTTGGCTCGAATCAATTATTAATAAATTTTTATTATAAATTATAAATAAATCAATGTTATAAATAAAAATATGTTATGAAGCCTAATTATAAATTTATTTATTTACATCATAAATAAATTTATATATTATATTAGAAATAAAAATATATTAAAGAAATAGTATTTTATTAGAAGCTTTATTAAACTTGCAAGTTACTTTTTAAGCCGAGTTTGAGTATTTAGTGAGCCGAGCCCGAATAGCTTATGAATTGGCACGGCTCACTGACACCCTTAATCCATTTGATCAAATATCAACGGTGATGATTTTTTTGATATGACTTGGACACAACCATTCTCTTTCCTCGCCCAAAGTTTCTCTTGTAGCTGAAGTTATCATCGAATGAATGAATGAACGAATTAACGAGGGTAGGTAAGTAGAAGGGCCTATTGGTGCTCAGCTGCATCTCTACTCACACCTGACGAGGTTTTTTTTTTTTTTAAAGTAGAACTTTCTACAGAACACCCTCCCTAGTCCCTTTTGCTGCATTATTTAAAGCATTAAAAACCAATATGGTGTAACCCCATCAAATGGAACGCATTAAAAAAAATCACTTATCAAAAGCAATTAATTGGGGTTTTGACATTGTGAGTGGTTTTGTTTTTCTAAACATAAACAACTGTCATTTCAGCAAAAACAATTGTAACCGTTGATGTTGTAGAAAATGAAGTTATGATTTTAGTATTATACATGCATGGCACACCAGAGGTCCCTGATTGGAGACACAAGGCTACATCGAATTGGATAATTTAAAATTGAAATATGGAAAACAACTATAAACAAATGGACTGAACGCCTCATAACAAATCTATATCTCCACTCTTGTATATTAATATAAGAGAAGTTTCAACTTGCTTTATTGAAGTCTTATTTTAATGCCTCGTTGTAATGGGGTTCTATCAAAGTTTCAAGATCTTTTATGATTTTACCGAATGAAAAATATATTAAAAATAAAATTCAGACTTTAGAGCAGTTGTCTCTTCTAAGAATGGCAATCGAGTGGGTTTTGGATGGGGACCATACTCCCTTTTCTTAATTTTAATTTTGAAACCAATTTCCATTCCTGACCCTGATCTCTGCCATGAATAAAAATAACCCTTTTATACATAAACATGTTCCCATCTCAATTCACATTCGCGCCCCACAAACACCTAGAGGTGTAAAGTGTGCCGTGCTATGGGTTGGGTTGGCCTATGGGCCGAACCTTGGGCTACGTCAGGCTGTGCATCGGGCCAAAGTTATTTATTTAAAAAACATGATAAAAAACTTAAAATTTTAATTTTATATAAATTTTGTATATAAAATTGCTTATATATAATAATTAAATAAATTAGTATAATAAAATTTAAAAAATATTTATTTTATTAATATATTATATACTATATATTATTATATAATTATAATTTATATAAATATTTATAAAAAATATATAAATAATATATATAGGTCGTGTCAGCCCGTGGACCTAAAACACCAGACCCAGCACGGCCCGCATGATCGAACCAGGCCTAGCACAGCCTACGGACCGTCATGCCGGGCCATGCCAAGCCAATCCAAGTTCATGCTGTGCCATGCCTAGCTGATCCAAGTTCATGCCGGACACGGCCTGATTTACATCTCTACAAACACCCCATAACATATCCCAAATCCCAACTGTGTATTGGTAACATCTTCCTCTGAATTTCTAAAAATCTTAAATTAAAATGATTTTTAAAATAAATTTATTTAAAATAAGAGATTTTTTAAAACATTAAAATATTTTGATATATAATATAAATAATATTATATATGTATATATTTGATAAATAACCGGGGCAGGTTAGGGCAATACAGGTCACTCCCCATCCCATCCCTGGCTGGGTATTGTATCACTATCAATCCCCATCCCGTCCCAGTCCCCATCAAGGCATCTCCTCCCGAACCTCAACTGGTTAATATCGGGGGGAACGGGAAAAATTGCCATCTCTACTGATGTTCTCTTTGAATTTTGAAACACTGACTTCTTTTCCTACCTTTTTATTCCTTCCTTTCAGCTATATAACTAAAATGAAGAGTTCAGATTTCATTTCAGGTGGCCCCAGAGAACAAACAAACATGAATTTCCTTCACAAATCACAATTCAGATTAGTGGTTCATATTAGTCCATGAATGGTGATATGGGTGGGTAGTTCTGGCCCATGTAGTAAGTAGCAACTGTCACTACCTACATGAATACTGAGAAGAAGAAACAAGGATAAATACTGGTTCATGAAGGGGAGAATGAGCCAAAACCAGAACCTACCAAAAAAGGAGAACGTGTGTAAAATGGAAACGATAATACCTAAAAACGTTCTATCAAAATCGAAGTTACAATTACGAATACTTAAAAATGTCGTAATATTTAATATATATGTAGGTTCCACCTAGCTTCCTCCTCACACTTGTACTCTGCATGTCGTTTGTTTATACGGGCATTTCCTGATTGCAGCGAAGCCGCTACAGTTGGCCGGCTCTGCTTAGATTAATGGTGCTACTCCAGTGTCAAAAAAACCAGAGGGAACAGACTACTGGGTAATGGGTACTCGCCTATACGAACCAACAGGGATGCCTCTACCGGTTTGTCGAGATCCGAATTTTTCATTCTTCATAAAATTCACAATTCGGATAAGCGAGCCACGACTCACATCACAAGGCCACTTGAGGCCAAGATGTGTCATGTACATTTTTATTTTTTTGTTAATTTTGTTCTTCATCTCTCTCTCTCTCTCTCTCGCAATTTACTTTACAGTAAAGTCTGTTATCTGTAATCCATCAAAGGAAATTCAGGAAATAATTCTCCTTATTATATATAGTTGTATGCATTATTAATACCAGGACATTCAATAAATACAGCGCAGGCTTCCAAGTAAACCCATCAAGAAAAAAATGCGGAACCCTCTCTCCCTCAGTGACGAAGATGAGAACGAGTCTTCAAAGTTGCCCTTCTGCTGGTGGAGATCGGTCGAGCACTTCAACGACCAGGGCCAGCTCAAGCTCGATCTCTCCAACCTCTCCAACCTCACTCCCAGGGTCAAAGTCCTCAGAGAAATGGAAAGGCTCGCTCTGATAGCTCCTGAGGGTCTCGACGACCTCCGACATAAGCTTATTACCTACCGGGCTGGCGATTTTTGGCTACCCACCGGCGGAATCAAGAAGGAAGACATGGATATTCCACCCATTGTCACGATACTCTTGGTGGGTTTCTCTGGTTCGGGGAAAAGTTCCCTCGTGAACCTAATGTATAGCGTTCTGGGTCGGTCTGGACTGATCCCTTTTGCTCAGACCTCCGGTAAGCTTTACGGTAGTGAAATTGGGTCTCCTTTTGGGCTCTCCTCTTTGGTTTGTACCACGTGTTTGATGTTTCTATCATTATCTGTTCTTTCTTGCTAGGGAACTCTTCCAACTACACGACTATGTTCATGGAAGAACACAACGTGCTGAGGTCGCTGCGAAGTGGGTTTTGCGTTTATGATTCGAGGGGTTTGGATTACAACCGGGTGGAAGAGAGTCTGGAGGGGTTGTCGGGGTGGCTAGTTAATGGGGTTCACCATCACCAGCTGTGTTTCAGATCAGGAGACGAGGCGTCGAAGCCATTAGTTGGTTCCGTGCCATCGTCGTCGTCCTTGTCCAAGTTCAGCTGGAGAAAAGTGAACTGTGTGGTGGTAGTGGCAAACATTGCAGAGATCTACCAAGCGTTGAAGAAAGGGGACGCAAAGCCAATGGAAGCGACAAAAGCTCTCTTCAACTGTCCTGCTATAAGGAAATGCAGTAAGTTCCCTTCTCATTTTCTTCTCCTAGGCATATTGTCGAATACCTACCTGGCCTTCTGTTTGGGATCAGGTCAGAGTCTTTTCTTGAAAATAAGACACCATTTGATTTTCATTCGGTGAAGCACCTCGTGAGAACCAGACACCAGTTATTATATGATGATCACCACTACCATCATAATGATATAATAGGGATATTCTGCTCCAGAAAGCCTGTCTTTTACTCAAGTGGGATGATTTCAAACAGATGGAACCTGGCAGAGCCAAGAAGGGCCAATGGCTCACTAGTACTGGGGAATCAGGGGCCGAGCATAACATAGGGAATAGAGATAGTGAAGTCAAGGAAGAATTGTTCATGTTCACTTGTTCAGGCACTGGGCTGGGCAGGGTAGGGCCACTAGGGTCCTTTTATCAGAGGCTGCTATCATCTTCATCTTTGGGATTCCACCATCCTTTTTATCACTTTTCTTTTTAGTACAGTTGACATACCCTTCTTCATCATTATGATATCATAAGAACTAACTTCTTACCCAAACGAGAACAAAGAAAAAGCTAAATATCACATATTGGCCCCAGTGATGCAGTAGTAGAATCTATCTATCTAGCACTACAATGGGATTGTTTAAAAGACTTAAAAGGTTAAGTTGTGGTTAATAAGCATCGATTATTTAATAGGGTGCTTAGGAGTTTTAATCACATTAAATATATTAATTCACATGGGATGTTGATATAGCATTCAACATAGACTTTCTCTTAGATTATTAGTCAATGCATTCAATTGTCAGATAATTAAAGATTATATTGCTTAATTAGGAAGAAAAGGGGCCCTTCTCCATCTTTGAATTTAATTATTTCACTTGAGTTAAGCATTGGCCTTTCTCTTATCCCTTTTGGAGTTTGGCCTGCACAACACCATTGTGAAGTATAGTTGTAGCTTGTGTTCTCTCTCTCTTTCTCTCTCTCTCTCTCTCTCATTTGCATCTCTTTTCCATTCTTAGTTCTCTCCTCAACTTTGAATTCGGGTCTTGGGAGGGGTAGATTGGACATAGACCAAATGTTTAGCAATGCACCAAGTATTAGGTACTATCATTCTGTGATTTAAATTGTTTGGCCTCCTCAAACGTCTACAAAATAAAACTGTTTGCCTCAATAAACTGGTTCTTCTCATGGTAGATCAGGCTTATCCATTTGCTGATATAAAACATCTGTTTAGGGATGACAATGGGTTGGGTTTGGTACAGTTTCATTAAGCCCGAATTGGACCCAACCCGTGCTCAATCAAGCCTATATATACATATATTGCAATGCAGCAGCAATTCCAGTAGGTTGGGTTTAGCATGACCATACTGGATTTCCTGCCCACTGCTCTCTACTCGCCGTGAATTGCAGTCACATCGCCATCTTGAATTGTGAGATGTGTGGCTGCAATTCACGGCGGGTAGAAAAAGTGAGTAAGAAATCTGGGTTCTTAGCACAACGGGTTCATCTCACCCAAAACCCAATTAACAATGACTCAATCCTAACCCAATAGGGTCAGGTCAGTGCATATTTACCATTTAACCCAACTCACTGACATCCCTACGTCTGCCCAAGTAAATTCAGGTGGGGTCTGAAAGTGCCTCTGTTAAGAGGTAACATATTGACCACTTAATTAGTCTTAATTAAGAGGTTATTTGGACAAATAACCCTTCAGCAATATTATTATATAATATTATATTATTTATGATAGGGCAAAATAAGAGAAGAGAGAACCACCCTGTACTTTGGGGGTACTTACACTTAAGGTCGAAAACTTTCATTTGCAACAGAGTGCTACCATGTACTTTTAGATTCCAACGCTATGCTCATGCTTTTAGCATTTCAATGAGATTTTTTTGCCCTCTCATTTATTACAAATACAAATATGTACAGTACATATTTGTATTTCAGTTTGGAAAGAGTACTAATACAAATATGTACGGTACAAATACATATAATACAAATTCCTTCCAAACTGAGCCTAAGTTTTTAAATTTAAAATTTAGGTTTTTTTTTTTTTCGCTTCAAAAAATTTGGGTATTTGAGATGCAACAAAGGAGACAACAAAAATGGTCTCATAAAGTTCAAAATTGACAAAATGCTAACTAGCATTCTGTTAGGAATCTGAAGTTGCTTTTGTTGCAAATGAAAGTTTGGGGACCTAAGTGTCACTACCCCTAAAAAGGACATGGTAGTTTTGTGTATTTTGCCCTTTATAATAACATAATATTTTTACGATTTATGTTATATATTAAAGGGTTAAAACTACAAATCAGGATTTTTTTTGAGGTTCTAATATTCTGAATGTCAAGCACTTCCACCACACTTAGAACTCAATAAATTTAGAGAAGTTATTTTCGATCATTTAAATTTAAAAACTGCTTTTAGAGCTTTCATGCTTTTCAGAAATCAGAGTTGGGGTTATTGATCAAACACCACCCCAAACTTATTCTGGAATCAAGTGCCAACCCAACACCTCAGTGGGTGGTTAACTATTTTGAAGTTTATGCATATGCATGCTCACAAATTGAGTTTTATGTATTCCCTACATAAGTGGATTGGCTGCTTGCTCTTTTTGTAATTCGATCTTGCTCTTTAATTTGTTGAGAGATAGTTAACAACCCACCTCAGTTATCCTTGTTTGTTGCAATTATCTCTAATTGTAAGAGTAATTGTTTGCAGATGAAAACCCCATCCTGATATTTACGCATGGCGACAAGCTATCTTCAGATGAGAGAATCGATGGCCGGCTGAAGGTCTCCAAGTTTCTGGGTATATCAGAGACGTCGGGGGAGTATGACGTTGTATGCCTGACCGAACATGGGTTGCTTCCAGATGAGTCGGACCCCGTCACTGCTTATGCATTGACAGAGGCCATATATAGGGCACTGATCCAGTCGGACAGGAGCCATCCTCCCAAGATAAGATTTAAGGACTGGGTGGTGATGTTAGTAACTTGGCTTCTGTGCTGCATCGCCGCATTCTTCGCTTTCCTCGCTGATTTCTTCTCCAAACTAGGTCGCAAGGATAAAAAACTTAAGCTGTGAAAACTGAAAAGTGAGACAACACACGTTTATCTATCTATCTTTTTCTTTTCTACAGTTCTTACCCCCTGTGTACTGGGTAGTGTAGGGGGAATGTGTATGTTTTTTCTTTTACAGGGGATGAAAAAAATGTGGGTGTTTGTATATAGATGATAGAATAATGTATTAATATTTGTCGGGATCTATTTGTCCGGACTCATACTGTTCGTCTGTAAGCTACCGGCCGGCTTCACTCGATGGCGTGATTGGAGTCGTCCTCACTCCGCATGGCGCAGCGCAGTACAGATGGTCCATGCATGGAGCCACTCTCTCTCTATCTATCTGGTACGCCAGCTTCGTTATCCTGTTTCTAGTGGTACCTATGTTCGGCGTATTCTCAATTCACTAGTTCAAAAGTTGGATGGATGGTCCCCATATATGAATTAATATGTCATCAGGCTCTCTCTGGGCGTAGCTTTCTACCTTTCTTCATCTTTATCTTTATGCAGCAATAAGAATGTCTTAGGGCTCCAAAAGAAAAATTTTAAGCTAGCTAGTTTATTTAATTCTTTTAATGTACTAAATGTCTGAATGTTTGTCCATTTCTGCCTTTAAAATGTTTGCATTTTTCATTGATATATGCATGTCATAAGAAGAATTGATTTAGTTAAATGGATTAAAAGAGCAAGGAGCAGATCAAGGACATGAACAAAACTGTGAAAGTAGTAAGCAATACCAATACTTTAGCAATAGAATGACATTAAAAAGGCTAAATGGAATTCATGTAGCCAACCCCATATAGTTGGGATAGAGCTTAGATGATCATGACGATGATGGCATAAAGGTGCATTCCGTTATATAAAAAGGAAAGAAATTTGTTCAAATTATCTCGGCTCTATTTGTTTTCGGTGCAAAATTTTCTAATGGGATTAAATTTTGCCATTATGGTTTTAGTTTGACTTTATTGTTGATTCACGAGAATTAGGGGTCTGGAATTCCAATTCCAACCATTTGGTTGGGTGGAATCAGAATCCCATTTTTATTTCTGCTTGAATGGTATTCTCCCATTTGAAGATATAGTCATTTTCTGCTTCTCCTATTTGAGGGAATGAAATCCTATTCTTGTTGATTTCAATTTTCATTCTCATTCCTGTCTGAACTAAATAAGACTGGAAATAAACTATTCCGAATTCGATTACAAACCAAACAGACCTTTATTTATTTATTATTAATAAAATGGGGACTAAAATAATGTGGTCTACGCTTAATACCAAAAAGAAAGATGAATGTTGAAGGAAGATTGTTTATTTAGAGAAGCAAAATAAGAAATAAAATTATCTCGATTTTAAATGTGAAAGAATAAAAGCAGGATGAAGGTAGTGCTTTTGCACAAGGATGATCCGATTTTGGTCCATGTGGGAGCATTTTGTGGGTTGATCCAAAGTCTTTAAATAGGGTCCTAACCCTCTTTTTACTTTGGGTGCAAAATTGAGTACCTAATACGAACGAAGAATTTGAATGAAAAATTGACACAACAGCATCAGATCTGTGCAGATCTGTACTCACAGATCAGCCGTTCGAACTTTAAGAAGACCAACCCAGTTCTGCCCAAACTGCACATCTAATCTTTTTGATTACCGATTAGAAGAAGCTGCATACTTAATAATCTACCACTAGAATTCTACAAATGGTGCATAAATTAAATGTGAAAATTATTTAATCTTTCTCACTTATAATTGTACCATTTAGGTAAGATCTATTTAAATTGCTGATCATCCCGATCCTCCATTTATGAGATTCTCTTAGGGGACGTTCTTTTTCGGATTTTGAGAGGGGGGAAAGTTGGTTAATAGAAATCCCATGTTCTTTTTTCAGATTTATGTGGAGACTAGGGAATGTTTATTTTCCTGGGTACCACACCCATTTCCTGGGTGAATAAATAACTTTCCCACCTAAGAAGAAAGTTGCCAACACTTGAATGTGATAAAAATGCCAATTTTAAGAATGGATTTTTATGGCTAAAATGGTCATTGCCTTATTTACATGAGAAACAAAAGAACATGGGTAAATGCACTTACCCGGGTAAATGTTTCATAGGAAAAACTTACCTAAATAATTGCATTTACCCGGATAAGTAATTTACCGAAAAACGAACAAGACCTTAGCCTTGGATGGAAGCATATATGGACATACCCAACTCTGTGTTGTTGAATCATGTATGTCTCTTCACGGGTCCTACCATTTGTCGGGCATTGTTCGGTAGGTGAGTTGCAGTTGCAATCAGTATTTTGTCTAAATCATTGATGGAGTGAAGTGAGAGCGAGTAAATAACACCTCCGTTTAATGATTCTAATCTCTTAAAAATTGAGTCCAATGGCAAGTCTTCTTTTGCAAAGATATTGATGGACAAAAATTATTGGAGAACACAGGACAAAATATTGATGGCAAGTCTTCTTTTCCTAAAACTAGGTGAGGGTTTGATTTTTGTGCCTACTGTTCAAATTTGCTTCGTGGCAATCCATCTGTCCACGTTGGACAATGGGAGACTTATCCACTAACCAGCCAACACTGACATAAGCCTGGCATGAGTCACCAAACCAGGGGTTCATATATGTATGTGTGCAAAGGAATCACTTACAACCCAAAAACCCAACCTATGGGCCCTTGATATATGTAAATTTTTTGCACCTCATATTCCATTTCAATGTGAGATTTTCTTCATTCCATACACTATTTACATGTGAATCCCGTGAATCTCTTCCACATTGAGAGTTTCATACTCTCCATTGAATGAAAGTTGTTATCATATACTGTCAAGCTTATGTTGCACCAACCAAGAGCCTTTTGCTCACAATCATATGGGACCAATATGGGAATATATTCCCATGGGGAGGCCTACAAAGTCAAAGGAGTCATTGTATGCATCTATCAATGTTTGTGCCCAATCAAAGCTCTGCGTCTGATACAATCATTGTACATCCAAAGGAATCACCAAAACCAAGAATATATATATTAGAGAGAGAGAGGGCTGCAATAGAACTGGAAAGTATTGGCTCTGTTCGACTAATATAGTTACATGCTCGAATTCGAGTCTAAGTTCGACTCGAGCTCTATTTTCCCAGAGTTCGGATCGAAAACTAAACGAGCTTGAAAATTCGAGCTCATGAACTCAAATTTGAGCCTATATTCAACATATCAGCCTAGCATTTTTCACAATAAAGCATCAAATTTAAATATCAAATTCCCTAATAATTTTCATTAAAAAAATTAAAAAAAAAGCTTCATTAATTCGTTTGACAATCACATTATATGAACCCCAATCTAAATATTTGATTACAAATCTCTATCCCAATTTCACTTTTGGTAACAAAAAGTGAAATCCAGACGTGATTCCTTCAATCACCTATATACGTGACTGAACCAAGGAGGCCAAAGCATAAACATAAGAAGGTAAGAATGTTGTAACTCTGATATGATGATCTACAGAATACAAGCTATCAAAGAAAGGGAGAGAGAGAGAGGGAGAGATAGAGAGAGAAAGAGAGCGAAACATACTGAGATATAGATCACAGATGGTTCTCTCTCAACCTGGTATTGGGCTGATGCTCTACTGCAGCCTGCAAGCCTACAACCATCGAGAAAGAAAGGTATCCATTTATCTAAAAATAGATAGATAGACAGAAAGAGAGAGAGAGAAAGAGTTAGCGAGTTTGAATCTTTTGATTACAGAAGACCATATATATATATATATATATATATTCCTTTTTAATATAAAACTCTCTTCATTTCATAATTATTCACACGTGAACCCCAACACATTCAGCAAACAGTACATCAATTCATCAAAGGAGAAAGCGAGAGAGTGGAGAGAAGTTCAACCCAAACAACATCTTAGAACTTTGAAGAATTAAGACCTGGTAGGCCAGCATATGGTTTGACGACCTCCGTTGTATACAAATTAAACCACTACAATTCGACTGCACTTGGCATTCCTTATTTTAAGAATTTATCTCTTTTTTTTTCTGTTAAAATGTCCTTATGAAAAATGAGTTTTTAACTGTAAAAAGAAGATAAAATCCTTAAAATAAAAAATGCCAAATGCAGCCTTAGTTAATTACCCTAGAAGCAATCGCTATCTACATGACTACATCTCTTGATAAAAAGCATTTTCTACGATCGTGGTGGTACCCGACCATCAACCGGGCTCGAAATTCCTATACTTCAAAATTCATATCAACTAAAAAATTGTACCCTCTCTCTTTCTGTTCCGAGAGAGCTTCCCTCTCGAATTTCTTGAGATTTCTCAATCTTTGTTCGTCGTCCGCATTCCTTCCTAGAAATTTCTTTTGGGGTGGTTCCCTTCGTGGAGTCCCCCCTTTTCATTATCCTCTCTTTTCTGTTTTTGTTTTTTTTTTTCTTTCTCTGTTGTTTCTTTTCTTCCCTCCTCCCCATGCTTTCATTATTTGTTCTTCTTCCCATCTGGTTCTCTCCATTCTTCCCACTATTCTTCCTCCCATTTATAGTCTCTTTTGGGAACCTCTTCATTATATTCTCCTTCATCCATGTGACGTATGCTCGTATATACGTCAGAATAAACATGTGACGGAACACCTCTAAGGATGTTGGGGGCCCAACAGCCACGTTCATGGGCATGACACGTTAATCCCTTTCTTTGTCTATTTTGGTCTGAAGACAAATAATTACTCTATAAATCCACACCCACATTGACATGATGGCTGCCAAAGTTTTCCCTTTAAAACCCAATCCACGTTGAATTGGTTTTGGGTCTGGACTGTCATATCCAAGGACTAAATGTATTGAACTGCCTAATTTGGGGCTCTGCACATAGTTTATGAGGCCCAACAGACCATGATAAATTGTTAAAAAACCTTTTTATTTTTTGCTCTAGACATTTTTTTCTTACACTAAAGTTGAATTTGTCATTTCAGATGGATTTTTTTTGCCCAATTATCCAAACGGAGCAATTCTAAAGGAGATGTAAGATTCTCTCTAAAAGCCCATAGAGTTGCCACCTAGTTTGATTATCTCCCCTTTTTTTGACCCAAAAATTATCACTCTTAAAACCATTCCTTATTTCTCTCATCCAATCAAGACTCCATAGGATACCAGTTTCCTTTTTTAAAGCACATTTAGGCTATGTTTGGTTTGAAGGGAAAGAAAGGGAAAGACAGGAAAACCAATACAAGGTTTATAAAGATTTCCCTACCTTTTCCTACATTTTCCTTCAAATCAAACATAGCCTTAATCTCCTTGATTATAGGCATCTCTATCTCCCCCATTAAACAAGGACGTTACCTCAATTCTAGCTTATCATTCATTCCCTCTCTCTTTCCTCAAAATGCCATTAGCTTGTCACCTCATTCACGTTTTCCCTCTCCCAATTTACCACATATGTGAAACTATATTTAAATTGTTTTAAACTATAATTAACATCCATTATCTTCAATTATATTTTAAATTCAAATGTTATCAATGGTTCAACTATAAGGTTTAATTACCAATGAATTAGAATTTAAAAATAATTATTATTTTGAATAAATTATATTTTTCCTATTTAAAACTATATTATTTAAAATAATTCAATTTAAATTGTAATGCTATTTAAATTAACATTATT